ACTTCGACTGCCCAGTCTACCAACACATATTGCTGTTTAAAGCTGTTGATTCTAAACGTAGACTCCATAGTTCATAAATCCACATAGACCTCTCTAGACCTTTGAGAATATTACTTATGGTCTTTTCTCACCATCCAGAGTGTTCACAGCCTCTCTTTATATTTGGGGACATTGATTTTACCTTGTATAAATTAGTTTTTGCAATAACAGTTGATGAAATCCCTCATGTGCTCTGAACTGGAGGCTGTTTCTTTGTCACCAATTTTATATCACTGTGTTTTCCTGTTTTGTACCTGTTTATTTTCTTCTCTTCCCAAAGTAAATGAGACTTTTCTACTGAATAGTTATAGCATGCAAGTAATGGGTTTATTATGGCATTTTCATACATATCTGTCATTATACTTTATTTAGCGAACAATTTCTATAGTATGGTGGGACTGATTTGCATTCACCAGGAGAGGAGGTTGCAGGGTGCAATCTTTTCTTAAAGCTATCTGGTAACATTATCAGGCTGACATCATAGGGTACATCAGTTTTCTGATGTTGGTGAGGTGAGTAGTATTTTAATCATTTTTAACCTATGTAGAAATTTAATTTTTAAAAAAGCACAAGTTCCATGGCTTCAAATAGCATTGGTGTGGCTCAGGTTTGTGTGGAAGAGCAAGGAAGCATTGGCTGTGGGAGGCAACCTGAATCTTCTCTACCTGCTTTTCCACTCTGAGACATGGGCCTGTGTTAGCTCCTTAGCAAAATAAGGATGATATTTGTCTTGAAAAGATCTTAGATCACTGAAGAAAATAATATTTCCAAAAAGCCAGTATGTATAAAGGAGGTGAGCAATCCGTATAATTCATCTTGCAACTTATAAATACACATCTCTGTATCGCTCTACTCTTCCCATTATTTCAAACTCTCTCTCTGCCCAGAATCTTCTGTCATTGGTGATTATAATTTCTCTCAAAATATATACCAACAGAATAAGTAAAATGTATTATAGTCAATATGTATGTCTGACTGGGAGGAAGTCAGTTTCCTTCTGCGAATCTTAGAGATATATCTAAATATCAACTTATATTTTTAGCTGTCTGAAGAGTGGCCCTTCTGCTGAGTTAGTCATCAGGAATGGGATTGCTTTGGGAATCCAAATGTGTAGCAGTTCCCTTCACTACCTTTACTTTGTGTCCTCTCATTCTGAATTTGACTTTGTCTGCCCACGTAGACTGAGTTGTGTGTAGACAGCTGCCTGCAGTTCACCCAGCTAAGCCAAAATACCTGTTCTTATTATATTTGATTTTGAATTTTCTGGCCTTACTCCTATATTTAATAGTTTTAACTTTTTCCAAATACCAGAGTGTATTCAATATAAAACTGCTCTACACCCTGCCCATATGTTCAAGTCTATCCCTACAAAACTCACCATGAAAAGCTGATGTGAAGGAAGCAACACATTCTCGTTAATAGTTTCTAGTAAACACAAAGGCTTTGACATTTGTGCTAATGGCTCATTATGAGCACTGCCCTCCTGTTGATTGACACACCTGCTGACTGTTGTTGAGCCAGTAAAGGTTCTACTGAAGTCAGGGACACTAAGGCAAGGCTGTGTGGCTGGTAAGTAACTATCAAATAATAAATGAAGATATAATCAGAAAGGGCTGAAATGATGGCTCAGAGGTTAAGAGCACTTGCTGCTCTTGAATTGGACTTCATTTTCATTCCTAGCACCCAGACAGCAGCTCACAACCTTCTTTAATTCAAACTGGAGGGGATCAGGCACCTCCTTCTATTCTCTGTGGGTACCAAATGCACATGCACATTCATGGAGGCATACATTGAAACACATAATTAAAAAAAAAAACTTTTATTGGTTCTTTGTGAATTTTACATTATGCGCCCCAATCCCACTCTTCTTTTTATCTCCTCCCTGCCCTCCACCCTTGCAATCTACCTCCCCAAAAGAAAAACAAAAAAACAAAAACAAAAAACAAAAACAAATCTCATTGTGGTAGTTGTAGTGTCTCAGTAGTATGTCCTATGGTATACCCTTTTGGCCACACTTTTTGCTTGCAAATGTTCATTTCAATGAGTCATTCATCTGGTATGTGGCCTCTGGCTTCTGCTACACTATCAATACTGGAGCCACACTGAGACTCTTCTCGGATATCCTGTTGTTGCCCTCTGTCATGGAGATCCTGCAGCTTTGAATTTGTAGGACCAGACCCTTCACATGCTTTAGTAGTTCATCAGTGAGGTAAATAACTCAAAGCCCTGAATCTGGTCCTGGAAGGTATCTGAGCTGTCCAGCCTGCCAGCTTTCCCACACCCACTCCACCATGGTGAGCTTTCCAGCACTGCCCTGGCTAGCAGCACATCCAATGCTACAGCAGCAGAGAAGAGAGCCAGCCCTCTAACTCTCATGCGCTCAGAGAATGCTCACTTGTGCCTTCACTAGAAGGGCCAGATCTACTGTGTTGCCCAGGTGAGGTGCAGGGCCTACTGTACCGCTCTCATGACTTCAGGACCAGCTCTCCAGTTCACCACTGGTGGCTATGGTAAAGGGAGGGGAGATCATCTCTCCCTTGTCCATGCCACCACAAATCAGACAATTGGCAGGGCCAGTCCTCCCATAGTTGTACCTTCAGGGAGAGCTTACCTGGAACTCCCACAATCAGGGCCAGCTCTAGCAACTCCCACAATCAGGGCCAGCTCTACTGTGCTTCCTGGGAGAGATGAGGGACCCACTTTCCTGAGTATCACAGCTAGTGAGGGACAAGGACATCAATCCCACAATGCCCAGATGAGGGGTGGGACCAGTTTTGCATAGCCTTCAGACAGCAACATGGCCCTAGGCAGCAGCCCAACCCAGGGACATCTGCCTGTCCTTTGATGGTAACATACCCATACTACTGTAGGGCCATGGACTCAGAGATGGCCCTCTGTGGCAGTAAGAGTCCAAGACTCCACCCACTATGACCTTAGGTGGCTTTACTAGCTACTCACATCAGTCTGTTCTTCACTATTTCCCAGTCCCCAGTTCTATCTCTCTTCATTGTACACACATCCTTCTGCTTTTCTTCCTCTTCCATCTGTCTATCACTTACTTGATCATCGTGGCCTATGGGTATCTGGAGTTGTCTCAGGAGTATTATGTCTCACCTAGGCAGGGTGGCTTCAAGCCAGGGTCATCTCAGGTACATCTGCCTAGACCTATGCTTTGCTGGATTGGTGGTTAACTCAAGCTTGTTCTTCACTCAGGCCCCATGACACCAGACTGGTGATTGTCTACAGATTGGCTTGGGCTCTCTTCCCACCTGGGCCATGTGACACTGGACTAGGGTTATCTGAGGGCAGTCTTCCTGATGAAGCCTCAGGCAACGTGTTAGTGCTCACCTCAGGCTAGCTCATCACTTAGACCACATGGTACCAGGCAGAGGCTCATAATTTTTTTTAATGTAACTAAAACTAAAATAAGTAATCAGAGTAAAGTTGTAGAAAAGCTGTTTTATTTTTTGCCAAGCATGGCGTGGCCATGGTGAGGACAGAGTGACATGGTTCCTGCCTCTGAGACAGAGCACCCAGTGTGAGCTTCCACAAGTGTAGATGGCTGCTGTGGGCAAAAGGCTTTTCTGTATGTAATAATCTACATATTTTCACATTCCTTCAAGGTATGTCCTCCTTGTTAACGTTAATGCTCCATGATAATTAGAAAGAGCAGGAGTCCAGAAGTTGATGGTATGGCTGTGTCTCAACAAAATGGTAAACACTGGGACATTCAGGACAGCCCTTAAGGCTATAGGAAAGAGCTCTAAATACATGAGTTCAAAATAACTACATGTAAATGATATAATTTCTTAACTGTGGAAAATATAAGGATGCACTATGAGTTATGAGGGACTCCATGAATCTAAAGGAATGAAGGCAACTATACTATGAGCCAGCTTGTCAGAAAGATACAAAGACAAGCAGATTCCTGAGTTCAAGGTCAGCCTGGGACACAGCAAAGTTAGGACCAGATGTGGTAAAAAGGGTGATTTCAGGACAGGATCCCACCAAACTAGATTATTGTCTGTGTTTAACAAACACAGATTTCTGAATTATTTTGCAGTGTTAAGAAAGAAAAATGGTGCTTGCTGTCTCTTAAGAATCAAAGGGATCAGGAGATATTGATTCATAAGATAATCAAAAGGAAACCTGGAGTAAATTACTGGATTGATATGTAAAGTAAAAACTGGGCCTGTGTTCTGCAGGCGATGAGATATTTAAGGACAAAAAGGAAGAACTCCTTGGAGAACACACATGCACACACATGCACACACTCATGCACACAAGCAAGCAAAGAGGAAATGGACAGAGAGATGTCTTAGAATAACAAGCAGAACACGGGTCATCAGCTTAGATCCACAATTTGATTTTAAGTCATTCTTTTTGGCATTCTCGGACACTCTTTCTTTCAAAAGTCCTCTCCATGCCAAGGCTGGTCCTTCTCAATGATCCTGAAAAAAACAAATAGTGTGTATTATGCAAGGGCCATGTATTAGCTGTACTAATGGTGTCATGTTTTCAGGGAAAATACTGAAGAAAAACTAGTATTTGTGAGAAATATACTTCATAATATGTTCATATCAGGATCTCTTGTTATTATTACTCTGATAAAATATAAATAATAAAAATTTACTATTTTAGCCCTGTAGTGCAACTATCACCACCGCCTGTCTCCAGAAAGTACTAGGCATTTCCCCACTTACCTTAATATTCTTTCTTCTGTAGTGAGAATGTCTCAGAGATGTGATTTAGATTTAAATAGGTCAGTATCTGACAGAACCTGGTGTTTAACCCAAGATTCTTCATCTCCAAACTGAGCACCCTATAGGCTAAAGGCTCACTGCCTGACATTTGGGAGGGAAAACTCATCACTGCAGGTAGTTAGGCTGTCCCTGAGTAGCTAGTGTGTCTAGTTACATTTCACTGCTGTTCTTGTTCTTCTGTCCTATGCTGTTTCCCAGGAGTCATATTACTGCTTCTAGACAAGCTTCGGAAGATGAAATGGGAGCAGATGTGGAGGCTGACAGCAGAGAGGGAACTCATGGGCATGCTGTCAACCTCCTTGGCTGACCAGGTGAGTGACCAGTGACAAGGACTCTTACACCTGAGTACCCTCCAGTTAATACACACTTTGTTGTTAGGAAAGTAAACACTGAGGAAGGGTTTTGGTTACAGTTTAGTTTAGCTCCTTGCTTTTTCTGAAACAAGTTCTCAGTATATACACAGAGTGCTTTGAAGTAGAAATTAACTTGCCTCAGTTTCCCAGATTCTGAGATTTAAAGTATGTGCCACCACGCATGGATTAAGAGGTTCATTTTGGGTCACAGTTTAGTAGGCTTTAACCCATAGTTGGTTGACCAACTCTTGGTCTAATAACAAAACACTACAGAGCATATGGAGGGTCATATCTGCTCACCCCATGATAATAACACCAAAGTAAACACTGTAGCCCCCCAATTCCCCTTACATGTATTCTCCCAGTGACTTTAAAAGTTTCCATTAAATTCTGCCTATTAAAGTTTTAATTGGATGGGTCTCAATTCATTGGATCACTCATGTCACTGAAAATTGTATACTATGACATGTAGAAAGTCAGTAGAGGTAAACAAAGAACCTGATTCCTTCCTTTATTTACTTTTTCTATACGGATGTTTGCCTGCATGTATGTCTCTGAATCTTATGTGTGCCTGATGCCTATGGAAGCCAGAAGAGGAGATCTAAAACAGAAGTTTATGCTTGTAGGCCTCCACATGGATGCTGGGAATCAAACTCAGGTTCTCTAGAAGAACAGTCAATGCTCAGAAACACTAAGCCAGGTCTCCAGCAACAGGACCCAGGTTCTTTACCTCAGAAAGTTCATTGTTTATGCAATTAGACTCACAAATGGATGACAGTTTACTATGTTAAAAGCCCTCTGTACCATCTTTATCACCAGGGTAGAATATACCTGTTCCCTAAGGTCCCAAAATACCATGGTGCATTTCCCCAAATATTTCATATAGATCTGAAAAGCAGCATGTAATATATAAACCATTACTGTGGTTCTTATCCTGGTTACCCTGAGCTCAAAGGAAGGCATGGGGCCTATTTGACCTCAGAACTCAGGATCACTCTTTGCTGACCATGTTGAGGTGTGATATAAATGCTTTCTCTGGCCTTTACTTATCTTTCTTTCCTATCCATACTGAGTTCATGCCACATGATTCATTTATCAAATTTCCAAAAAGTTTTCAAATACAGAGGAAACAAGAAAGTCTTCAGGGTTATATTACCTTTTTTTTTTCACTATTATTATTCAGTATTTACCAAGAAACCAAAACTAATATCCCTTCCTAAACAATCAGATACAGCATAATAAATAGTGAAAAAAAATAACTCAAGTGCTATCTAAGACCTGAAGGGATAGTTGTCTGCTATCTTCATATTTCAAGTCAGGTAACAATGACCTGAGTGTATCCCCTAAAGCTAGGAACTGTATGTCTGTGTCTAATGAGGATAGTTTGTTCAGTCATCTTATGTCATGAATGCCTATAATTCACCTCCCTGTACCATCTGTCAAATAGTTGCCTAATAAGTGAGGCTTCATGTGAGGTTTGGGAAGGGAGCTCAAACAAGGTGGTGTGTGTGTGTGTGTGTGTCTGTGTGTGTGTGTGTGTGTGTATTTAAAGTGCGGGAGGAATCTTCCTGGACAAGTGGAGCTGTACTCTGAATACTGTGGCTTGTAGAAATCCAAGGAACATCCATCACTAGGCTAACCATAAGCCCCAAGAAAGAGCTGCTGAGAGTGAGGATATGTAATTTGTCTCAACCCTTTAGATGATATGAGCCACTTGTCATCCAATTGGTTCCTCTCCAGAAGGCTCAGAATAGCACAGGGCTCCAACCTAGGATGAGAGAAGGGGAGAAAGAGAGACTTCATTTATTTTATGATACTCATCATGGGAAAGTCATTGCCTATCTGCTCTGTGTGAACTCCCTGGATGATGACCACCTAGACTCATAAGCATCAAGTCAGCTAGGTTGGCCTCTTCCTGCCCAAATGTTACCCCTTAGTTTCTGTAGAAAACAGGTAGGAAAACTGTTTACAGTGGGAGCATTAATCCTGAACTCAGAGCAAAATACTCAAAAGATGTCTTCCTCTAAGCTGAACTTGCCATTAGCTTCACTATGTCTTTGGCTTTTATTCCACAGGATATTTTCAATGCTGTTATCAAACAAAACCCCTTTCTGGTGTATCAGCTTCCCTGCTTCTGGAATGTGCAGCTGTCAGACCATACCCGCTCTGAACAATGCTACAGAGATGTGTCTGATTTAAAGGTGGGTGAAGAGGTGCCATGGCGGGGTGTGGTTCACATCTTCCACATAGTCCTAGTTGAGCATAGGGAAGCTGGGTGTGGTAATTGGCAGGAAACAGTTGTTTGTGAGTCTGTGAGAAATGTGGTGGAAGATGTAAGGTCCCAGGGGAACAGAAAGAACATGACTTTTATCTCTATTGGCTATTTTCTTTCACCCTCTTCTTTGACTTTCTGGAAATCATAAAGCTGCTGGTGTAAAGAACCAGCTTGTGTGGATATTCCTCTTTCCATCTGATGCCAGTTGTTTTGATACATGTCAAATCCCCAAATCCATTTATTTAATTCAAGCAGAAATATTTGTGGAGAGGCCCATTCCATGCCAGGCATTACAGAAGAGATGTGTATAATTTCTTACTTTCAAGTCACACTGTAGAAGGGCAGAGAAACTTGGATGGAAATGGGTATTAATAAACACTGCAGGAACCATGCCAAGTGTAGGAGGGTCAGAGTGAAGAAAGCAAGCACATGTCTCACTCTTCTTCCTGTAGATGAGACAGTGGCAGAAAAGCTTTCATCGTGATCTTCTGAGTACTAACCATTTAAGAAGGCCTCACACTAAGAAAATTACAGGGCAGGGTATATGAGCTAGCTGTATATAATATGAAACAACATATTCTGATCGTGCCTGAAATGAGCAACTATGTATGTAGTCGATGAGTCTATATATTGGATGGGAGTTCACACATTTTCCCTGACAAAGTACAATGATTGGCCTCAGTTCAGAAGGATGTCCTCCCAGTCCCTTGTATGATGTTATCAAGTCCAACTGATATGTTCTTAGAACAGGGCACATTTGGAAAAGGAAATCCTAGTGCATAGAAGGAAACCATGTCTTGGTACTGTTAAGGACTCACCGCCCAACATAGTCAAAAGAAAAAAGTATCTCAAACCGTGCCTTCCTCCATCACTTTCTATCTTATTTTTTAAGGTAGAATACAAATTGAACATGTAGCTCACTGATTGCATGGACTGACTGACCAATGAATTCCCAGAGATCTCTACCTACCTATGTTTTTGTTTGTTTCACATACATATACATTCACACATATATAAAACACACACACACACACACACACACACACACAAAATAACCAAGTAACTTAAATTCATTAAGGATAGGACCTCAATAATATCTACTTGCCTCTAATCTTAAATCTAAATGAAGAATTCTAGGCAATTTTAGTAATGAAATTATTTTCTAGGCTCAAGAGTAAATTAGATGTAGCATATGTTCTTTACAAGAGATAGACCGAACTAATGAAAACATGAAAGATTGACAGTAACATTAAGCAAAAATAGTATCAGAAAGTACCCAATGAAAGCTATAATAGCTGTACTGATATTAGACAAAACATTAGTGGGAGAGAGATGAGCACAAATAAAAATCAAACTTACCAGTCAGGTATAAGAATCTCAGGTCTACATATACCTTGTGCCACGTCATGTATATTTCAAAGTATATAAAAGTATAAAGAATATAAATATGTCTACAATTGCACATATATTTTAATTTTTATTTATATCTATGTATAGCCAAGCATTATAACTTCAGAAAAAAGGATAAACCTCTTAACATAGTGGAATGTTTTACCATCCTTTTCATATATGAAAAGATGTCAAGAGATAATAAAAATATTGAATGCTTGAATAACAGCTAACATACTTGATTTGTAGAGTAAATAAAGAAGCTGTGTGGGCAGTTAGAGTGCTGTATATTCAGCACTAGCCATAAGATAACCATGTATCAGACCACAGAACAACTTTTAGAGCATTTTAAAGAATCATATTATACCATAATGCAGCAAGCACAATAATCTCAATTTGAAGCCTGTTGCATCAAGATGAAAGTCGTCTAATTGATTCAAATTGAGAATCCACTTTGACGGTTTTTGTGGTTCTAAATGGTAATTGTAATTGAAACTGAAAACTACTTACAGAGTAAATGAAATTGAAAGCAATTCATGTCCAAAAATATGAGAGTAAATAAGCATACAGAGGAATACATAAGCGTCAGTGTTTGTTTGTATTAAAATAAAGATAGGCTTCAAATTAATATGCCAAGCTTACATCCTGGGATATGATACACAGTGACTATGAGGATAAATTTAAAGAAACTAAAAGGACATAAAGAACAGCAGAAATTGTTTAGCAAATTGTGCAATAAAGTCAGAAGATATTAGTTTTGAAAACACCAAAGAGATCTACAAAGTCAAGACAGTACTCCTCAGATAAAAACAAGGGAACTCACTAAGCAATGGATAGCACGCATGAACTCAGATTCATTAGCAAGTAACTTTTCTTAGATCTATGTATACAACAAAGACTAATATATAGATACATGTGGTATGTCCGTGTGTGTGTGTGTGTGTGTGTGTGTGTGTGTGTGTGTGTGTATACAATTTGTGCCCTTATGTCTTTAGGCACATGTGAATATGTGAATGCATATGCATGTAGAGAACATAAGTTTTCATTTAGTATCTTCTTTGATTGTTCTTTATCTTACATATTGAGATTGCATCTCTCACTTTAACCAATAGCTTAGGAAGTCAAATTCTCCAGCTCCACAGTATGACATCAAATTCCTTACCCTATTCTAATTATATCTCCTTATCTGGGCAAATGGAAAAACAATCATTATTTTGCGTAAGTGTTTAAAGTTGAAGAAGATGGCCCACAGTGCAATTATGACAGAACTTGGAGCTATATAGAAGGTCCACTGGTCTTACTATTTAGAAATACTTATTAAAATATCACTGTTGAAATATTTTTCAGCCTACTGAGGAAAGAAATATGTCAACACATTTCTTCTCATCCACTTGTCAGAACTCTCATTTCACAGATAGAAAAAGAAGCATCCAAAGAGAGGAAGTGAGTCACCTAAGGGTAGAAAAACAGGTTGGTGGCATAGCTAGAACAAATGTCTGAATTTGGTGGCATGTGCCCTAGCACATGTTTAAATGCCATACTAAGCAGACAGGACTTTGATGATATAAGCAAATGTTCTTTGGCTCTCAACTCTCATCTGTTCTTCACTCTTTGGTAATTTCTGGCACCTAACTCCTTGGGTTCTGTGGACATAAGCTCTCTGCCATGGCTTTGGTATACACAGCTGGTAGAACTTGGAAGCAGTTAGTCCTAGAAATGTCAGCAACATTCTTAGAGATACAGTGGTGCAGCTGACAAATATAACCTACTTTAACATTTTTAGCAGGATATATGTAAACAGAGCTGTTGATGACAGTTCCTTTAAAGTGGAGGGATCCTGGGGATGGGCAGAGTTCTAGGAGCTTTGAGTGGCCTGTTGTCTCTATAATCTTATAGTCAGGAACCTGGTTGATATTATTTATTCCTACCATTTGCCATCTATGCTCTGTCTCAGCACAGAGAGGTCTGTGTGATAGCAGACTGCCCTGTGGAACAGGTACCTTAGAAGCCAGTGTGGTACAAACTGCCCATATAAAGCTGTGCTACTTGAGGAAAAACAGGGTACAATATTTGGTGGCTGGACATTGACATACTAACCTACACTAGGGAAGGTTTGGTTCTCCACCTTGGAGGGCTTCACAAAGCAAGCAGATTGAGCAAAGGGGAGGATTCAAAGATCTACCTTCTGGAAATTACTGTAACTCAAGTGGATTCTAGGTTTACATTCAATTAAAAAGAATAGGAGCGTAGTCTAGGCCAGGAAACCCTGTTTGATGTCTAACCTTAGCTAGCAATGGAAGCATCTAGAGCTCCAAAGTACTTCAAAAATAGGCATGCAAATCAAACATCTTCTAATCATGAATCACATGGAAATTCACTTTTTAAAAAATGCTTCTTTGACTTATATAAGTTTACCAGTTATTAAACATAAAACAAATTTTCATGTTAATTAAATGGATATGATTATTTATTTTTACACATGGAATTGAATTTTGACTGAATATTTGATAATGCAGGACACAGGACGTTTTGATGTTTTTCATAACAGTTGAATATTTTGGTTGTCTGATTCTCAATGCTGAGAACACCACTCCACAGAAATACATAGTATCTAATTGCAGAGATATATTTAAAGCCATACCAGGCAGTAGTGGAAGTTCTGTCCCCATAGCTAGCCAGAATTCAACACTTCTCTGTGAAGGTTCAGTCATCAACTCAATCACCATTTTTCTTATATTCTTAAATTCTTTGAAAAATTTATATATACATATTGTATTTATACTTTTACTTTATTGTGTGCTTGGATCATTTAAAGATAATGTAGAATAAAAAAGAACAAGTTATTTCACCCTCAAAAAGATTAGCATTAACTGAATGTGGTGGCTTATGCCTTTAATTCCTGCATTCAAGATGCTGAGGCAAGTGGATCTCTGTGAATTCTAAGACAGCCAGAGCTACACACAGAGAAACCCTGTCTCAAAGAACCAAAATCCAAACCAAATCAAAAAAAAAAAATTAGGATTAATATTTTTGGCACAGCGACTGGTATGTTTTCTAAAAAGTGGTATGATGAGGCAGGAAGGAGTGTCTTAGTGGGCCCATGCGGAGGCATCCCCCTCCCCCCAAGGTACTAACCATATGACAAGTCTAGTATAAAATGAAGTGTATTTGGGGTCATGAGTGGGAAGGCGAGAAGGGAGTAGAGGCAGAGGGAAAAAGGGGAAACATGAGAAGTGAGCTTGAGAGGGAGCAGAGTCAGAGAAAGAGGGGAGACAGAGAAGAACAGAGAGGGAAAGAGAAAGAAAATAAGAAGCCAGTCCAGAGAACAAGTAGATAGGGGTGAGGGAAGAAAGGTGGGGGAGTGATCAGAGAGAGTGAAGAGTGAGAGAGATTAAACAGTCCTTTTATAGCAAATAGACTCCTACCTGGCTGTTGGTAGGTAACTGTTGGGTGGAGCTTAGAAACAATACAGCTACATCATTGAAAAGCTTCATTTTCAAGGATTGGTTCTGCACTAGATGATATTGAGATCATACT